CTATTTCCTCCAGACGTCCTCTAAATTTTCAATGATTACACAGGATTCCTCTATGGAGACCTCTATTGGTAGATTAAAGTACTGCAGTTTTAGTTCCTTCAAGGATCATCTTACTAGTGATAGTGGTTGTAATTTCACTTCTAGAAATAATACAAATAATACACTATTTTCATTACTATTTTCATTTTCAATAAAATCATACAGAGAATGTTATAGTTTTAAGATTTCCATCTTTAGAAAACTGTTATTCAGTGATATAAAATTATCCATAGTCACTGATCTTTGTTCGAGTCAGTTAGGACTAAAATGTTGATCGCTTAGTTTAATGAATTGTAATGTGAATTCATAAAATTAATTTGAAAAACTTAACAATAATTTATTTCTTTAACACATAATAATGCCATTTGAATGGGCAAAAGAGTGAGTAAGAATTACAATTAATGCCACTTAAATGGGCAAAAGAATGAGTAAGGAGTACAATTTAATCATAACAATTGGGTGCTACTTTGAACGGACAGAGGAAATGTGACTCGGCCCAGTGCATGCTTCTCGTTTACTGGTTAGTACTGGGCTCTTATCCCTGACATTGTGTGGTGCTGCAATGGTTACACTGTACAAATAGACAAAATATTCTAACTATGACAGAACAAATTCAAGAAGATTTATTTTCATATTTTTGTTTTTAATAAACTGAAATGAAGCATATTCATATTATTAAAAATTATAATGTTATGTTTGATATATTAATCCTTCAAGTGTTGTGGGTTTGGTCCTGACCCTTAAAGTTCCATGAATAAGAAGCATTTCTTGTTTACAATTCCAAAATAATACTCTGACTTTGCACCCTGCCTCCCTTTCCTGTAATATACACCCAGCCCAAAATCGAATTCATCAGCTGCTGGCAGAAATTCTCATGTGCAGTGAATCAGAAAGCTGTCCTTCTATGCAGACTTTTTCATTCATAACCCTTAAAAGTAATAATATGAAATTAAATATTGATGAATAAATTTATAACGTACTGGACATCAAATGACAGTGGTAATACTTGTAAATTAGGGGATTATATAATAGTTGTGAAGGTAATGCCAGTAGTATAATTTCTGTTGCATTGTAATTTCATTAATTTAGCTTAAATTTATAATTAACTAGAAAAAAGAACTTATTTTGCTTAACCATATCAGTTAAACATAAACGTTTAAGCACGTATACAGTCAAAAGTCGTTAATCCGGACTCGTCGGGACTTCGGCAATTCCGGATTATCGATTTTTCTGGATTATAGATCATCAGTTTAAATCTGGTAAGATGGCATGCAGAAATTTTAAAATTAAAAAAAGGAAACCGTAATTTATGAATTAAAGAACAATTATGATCTAAATTGTTTACTTTATTAAACATTTCTTTCAATGTAAGTTGTTTAAGTTGCTTCGTTTTATGTGATAATACTTTCTCTTTAATTCTGTAAACAGACATAAGTTCTTGTTCAGTTACAAAGTTCCGCTGTTGAAGTCCTATAATTGCTGTGTCGAGAATACCGACTAATTTGTGAATCGAAATTTTTTCATTTTCAATAACTTCTGCGTCACTTTCTTCACTATCGGAAGCGAATTATAATGATGAGGAATATGATTTAAATCATATCAAAGACAGAGTACATTGAGATGAAATACTACATTTAGTAAGGAATTATAAGCCAATTAAAATAAAAACATCTGCCCTGAAGATAAGGATAGTGCTGACAGATCAACTTTCAATTCATTGCACGCCTACATCAAAACATGCTTTCGCTTTGTAGATCCTTTGGCAGCTCCAGAATTGGAAACTCTATTTGACATTATCGAAAATTCAAGCTTACTTTTTATAAAATTGCTCTAACAGTCTGCAAAAATTAATAAGCCGGATCCAATTTGAAGATTAAGGAACAACGCAATCTGCAACATTAACTGAAATAGATATAATATATCATTAACAGAAATAGATAATTAGATAATTTTAGCCTAGCTTATACCGTTTTTAATACATTAAACGTGCATGCGTAAACGTATGCGCATGCGTAAATGCTACTCGTGCACAGAAAGTTTGTAGTTTTGAGGTCCAGATTATAGATCATTCCGGATTAAAGACTTACTGTATTTTGCTAAATAGTCAGTATCTTTTAAAAACATTTTTGAAAACAATTTTCAGAAATAAAGTTTACTTGTTCTCCTAGTGTCTAAAAAGACCTCTGTTGGTTTGTTATTTAGCAGAATCTGAATGACTTGTAAGGTCAAATTTTTTATTACCACTGTGTTTAAACATAATTTAGAGGGATTTTTATAGAAGCGGGGTGACTGCATCCCCTTTTCTGCAATACCTCGGTTTAGTTTAACTGCTGTTTTTCTGCCCGTTACTTGGAATCTTGGGGCTTATTTTGACGATTGGTGAAATTTTTCTTCCCGTTAAATTTTCTATTTTTTGCTGTCACCTTGTGAAACTGTCTGTTCATTCTTTGGCCATAATCCATACCAAGAAGTTAGTGACCAACATTTCTTCCATCAAATGTCACAGCAGGTTTCATGAAGGCCTGCCATTATATCTACGAGGAAGGTAAACCCTTTCATTTGGTTTACAGGAACCAGTTGGGTCTGTGATATTCATGAGGACCAGCGAAAAATTTGGTTGATTTTCGGCCGTTGGTCCAGATTTATTTAGGTGCCAGATATGAAATATGATATGTTTAGCTAGCTTGAAATGGTAACTAGATCTACTTAAAGTTCGAAGCCCACCAACGGCCGAGTGGGAACGTCGCTGAACACTGGTAGTTCAATCCGAGGTTCGAATCCCGCGAACGGGCTGGCTGCGTGGGTGTTTTCGTGGTTTTCCCCATGTGTAACGTGTATACGAGCCAGTTTCCTTTAAATGTCCTCCACGAAGGCATCCTTTCCTTAAAGGCAAATAGCCCTCGAGTGCTTTGCCTTAATCTAATACAGTCAAAAGTCGTTAATTCGGACACCCATAATCCGGAATGATCTATAATCCGTACCTCAAAGCTAAAAACTTTCTGCGCATGCACATAGGCGTTTACACGTGCGCGTAACTCTTACGACTGCGCATCTGCATGTGCGCAAGTGCAAAATACGTTTTCGCATGCACGTTTTATGTATAACGGACGGTATAAGCTAAAATTATCTAATTATCTATTTCAGTTAATTTTGATGATTGCGTTATTCCTTAATTTTCGAATTGGATCCGGCTTATTATTTTTTGCAGACTGTAAGAGCAATACTATAAAAGTAAACTTGAACTTTCGATTATGTCAAACAGAATTTCCGATTCTGGAGCTCCCAAAGGATCGTACAAAACGAAAATATGTTTCGATGTCCATCAAACAAAAAGTGGAATTGCTCCAAAAAATGGATAAAGACATGAAGAATGTGACAGAGAGGTTAGTCAAAACGAAAAAATTTCGATTGACAAGTTAGTCGGTATTCTCGGCACAGCAATTAACGGGACTTGAACAAAAACTGAACTTTGTAACTGAACAAAAAATTATGTCTGTTTATAGAATTAAAGAGAAAGTATTATCACATAAAACGAAGCAAATTAAACAACTTACATTGAAAGAAATGTTTAATAAAGTAAACAAATAAATATTAAGCTCTTTTTTGTAAATTTTGATACCCTTTAGATCATAATTGTTCTTTATTTCATAAATTACGGTTTCATATTTTTAATTTTAGAATTTCTGCATGCCATCTTACGCGATTTAAACTGATAATCTATAATCTGGAAAAATCGATAATCCGGAATCCCCGAAGTCCCGACGAGTCCGGATTAACGACTTTTGACTGTAAACCAAACCAAACCTACTTAAAGTTCATACCTGGCTACTTCTGGCGCAGGTGTGAAGACGAACACAACAGGGAAAGTGTGTAAAAGACCCTTTATTTATCACAAACTGTATAACAGAAGACACAGATTTACATGCTTAGACAAAAACACTGTCCACTTGCAGTGAGAACTTCAAAGTAATTTAATAATAAATTTAAAGTTACAGATGTAGTGCTTGACTATAAAATTCAATTAATCTAGCAGGCTGGCTCAGTGGCAATATAGTAACTAGATGGCCAGAATGCATAACCACTACTAAGATTAACAGCTGGAGGATAGAATAGCAAACAATTGCGTCATTAGTAAAATCACGCTTTATCTAACCTTTTCGATTCAACAGTATTAGGTATTCTCGTTAACCTTCATAATCTTTATCCTGGTCAGAAAATGCAAGGAAAAATAAAAGAATTCAAGAAAGGCTCAAAAATTGAAAAAACTGTTAGTACAAGTAAACAGAACCCTGTAGAATGGTATAATTTCTATATCAAAAATTTCAAAATTTCCTAAAAATTCATCATTATTTATGTTGGAAAATATTTTATATTAATTTTTATTGTGTATTTATGTTTATAATAAATTTTAAATGCAAAAATATATGATAAAGTATTCAAGTTTACCTGAAATTAAAAAAGAAAGACTAAAATATTTAAGAATTAGTCAATGGCAAAATCTCCGGGCTGAGCAAGGTTGACTCAGCCTTTCATTTTTTGAGTGGGTTGATAAAATGAGTATCAAGTTTGCTTGGGGACTAAGCACTGGGGGTCCTGCAACAAGCTGACCACTTGTTCAGGGCATATGCTGATGCACCCCGAGGCCTAAGGTCAAGAGAGCAGTTTTCATGGCACTGCAAGCCGTGGCCCATTAGGGCTGTTGCGCCACTGAGTTTAGTTTAGTCAGTGGTAAAACAGTCCATTATGATCCTTGAGGTTAGCTGGCAATGTTATACACTTTTTAAATACAATTTTCATATAATTTGAAAGAAAAACTGAAATTAGCAATTTAAATTTGTTGTATGTTTTGTAATCCGTGGCCTAGTTTGATGTCATTTAATTGTTAGCAAATTAAAAATGTGCAAACCGTTTTGTAAATGTAAATTGTATCCTAGTTTTTAAGTATTGTAATTTGTTTTCAGCACCTGGCTGTGAAACAGCAACAAGATGATGAACTAATGTCTGGAGCTCCAGAAGAGTTCCTTGATCCTATTATGAATACTTTAATGAAAGATCCTGTTAGATTGCCTTCTTCTGGAGTGACAGTAGATCGTGCTACGATAGCTAGGCATCTTCTTAGGTGAGTGTGTATTGTATAGTCATAGTATTGATTTATGTAATAATTGAATAAAAAATATAACCCCCCCCCAGAAAAAAAAAAACATTAAAATCTGTTTATGAAATTCTTTAGTATGTAAAAATGCTTATTAGGATTCTGCCAGGTGTGTTTCTTGCTTCATATTAAAATCTAATTCGTTAAGAATTTTTAATTAAATGCTGTTCTGTCTTGTATAGAAAATTCATTAAGCCTCTGCCAGCATAATTTCTGTGCTTCAGATTTTCTAATATTTTTAATATGAAATTCACATAATTTAAAATTGTTAAAATTTCAAAAAGAAAATTATTTTTCTTCAAATTAACCCCTTGGGTATGGATTTATTTGAGAAAATATTTGCATGTAGAACGGATATAATTTTTGGTTGCGATTCATCAATAGCTACTTCATTATCAGGAGTATAAAGATAACAAAATTTATTATTTAGGTGATACACTATATTTCTAATATTTCTTATTCTGTCATCTTTATTTCCTTTTCATTATCTGTAAAATGTAGAAAGCTTGAAATATCAAAAAACCTATCGCGTGCCATAGTGCTGGCAAAAATTGGAGTACTTATTGCATATCTTTTTGACCAATACATATGCATTTTTGGCTTCTTCATTTGCGACATCAAGATGTAATCATATGCATCTTGATGTTGATCAAGATCATAATGCAATATAAGCTTTCATTTCATCAGAACTTACAAGAAACCACCTTTGGTAGTGGTTTTTTTTTTTTTTTTTTTTTTTTTTTTTTTTTTTTTTTCTATCCCTTGTCTGGCATATCTATTCGTCTCTTCTTCTATAGTGTCCCAAAAATCTTCATTCAAGACTTCTTTCAAAACATCTAAAGGCGTAGGATTACAACGTAGTCTACGCAGGCTCAAAGGATTAATTCCAGATATTTCATAAAAACTTTTTATATCGGCTGCATTTTCTTCTTTTCCCTAAATCCATTCCTTTGATACTGGTTCACGAGAAGATTCACTATCACTTCTCGATAGATGTCTTGTGCGTCTTCGAAACCTTGGTTTTATATTAAAATTATCATCATTTTCTAGTTCAATATCGTCTTCATCACCTTCACTTTGTTTTTCATTGTAATTGTCAATTTCAGGATCACTAAACAATTCTTCTTTAGATTTCTCAAAGTCACTTTCGCTATCACTATCATGGAATACATTCCTTGTTTTTGACATAATGGGGCAGTGTATCGCAAATAATGTTCACCGAAATACTGTAATTGCCTCTTCTATTATGACTGATACAAGCTACAATGAAATGAACAGAATTGTGCCTAACCTCAAATAACGTAGACACGTCATCCGCTCCTAGGGAAAACAAGTGAATGACGTCTCTGAGACGTCAAATGTACCCAAGAGTTTAATTTTCGGTTTGACGTCTCAGACACGTCATCCGCTCCTAGTGGAAAAAAGTGAATGACGTCTCTCAGACGTCAAATGTACCCAAGGGGTTAAAATATACATAGTTTCCAAAAAGTAGTTAAAATATATAACAATTTATAAAGGATTATTAAGTCATCAAGTGAATTAATTTACTCACAATTAGATTGCATTTAAATATGAGCATAACAGGAAGCAAATTATCCTTATTTAAAAATGGTATTGGTGTATCTTTAATAATTTAAATGCGATAGCCATGCGCATAAATAAAAATTCTTGTGGCAATTTTTCTGTGATCCATGTCATTTGCATTTGTATTCAAACTTAAATTTTACAGCAGTTCTTTTTGCTAATGAAACTCTATTAAGCAAAATTGTGGAGAAATTAACATTGAATCTTTGGCTGTTGAAAAAGCAATTATCACCAATTTTTTTCAATCAAATATTTTTCACACAATTGTTTGTAGATAAATACATAGTTTATGGCAAAAACAAGTGATCCCGGGTATTAAAAAAAAAAGTAAAGAATCATTAAATCTATTGTCTAGGGCATGGTTGTATTATATAGATGTTGCTCATCAAAGGGTTTTTGGTTACTTCATCAGTGAGTTCCAAAAAGATTTTACCTTTTTCCCCTGACTTTTTATAACTATTTAAAGCATATCATACTTAATTTAATTCAGGGTTTTAAATCTGTTAGATTTAGAGGTAGCTGTCATTGTAAAGTTTTTTTTTTTTTTTTTTTTTCCCAATTTCAGAAGTTTTTTTATGAGGTATCTAACTATGGTATGTAAAGCCCTTGGAGTACAGCTTAGTGAAATGTATGAAAAAAAAAGTAGTGGTAGAAAATAGCAGTGTTATAATAATTGTTGATAAGAAGTTAAACATTCAGAAAGTCCAAATTTGTCATGGTGGAATAAAAAGGCAAGCATTTCTGCTGTGATCGTTATTGACTGAAATGTGCCTGAAAGCAGTGTAATTAATTGCAACTGGCCCAGCTCACACCAGTCTTATTACTCAATTTCTTATGCATCAAATGTTCCCTGCTCTGTCATTCCATGTCATGCAAAGTGATTGCCAAACACCCATATTTTCAGTATTGATTAATATAATTGTTACATTCAAGTGAATTTGAATGCAGAGTTTTATTTTAATTTAATCTTTATTATTTCAGAATTGTTAAATGTAGAGTGTTATTTATACAGTCAAAAGTCGTTAATCCGGACTCGCCGGGACTTCGGCGATTCCGGATTATCGATTTTTCCGGATTATAGATCATCAGTTTAAATCTCGTAAGATGGCATGCAGAAATTCTAAAATTAAAAATATGAAACCGTAATTTATGAAATAAAGAACAATTATGATCTAAAGGGTATCAAAATTTGCAAAAAGAAAAAACTTAATATTTATTTGTTTACTTTATTAAACATTTCTTTCAATGTAAGTTGTTTAAGTTTTGCTTCGTTTCATGTGATAATACTTTCTCTTTAATTCTATTAAACAGACATAATTTCTTGTTCAGTTACAAAGTTCCGCTGTTCAAGTCCTATAATTGCTGTGTCGAGAACACCGACTTTTGTCAATCGAAATTTTTTCGTTTTCAATAACCTCTGTCACTTTTCTTTCTTCGCTATCGGAAGCGAATTATAATGACGAGGAACTTGTTTTTAAATCATATCAAAAACGGAGCATATCGAGATGAAATACTACATTTGGTAAAGAAATTATAAGCCAAATAAAATAAAAACATCTGCGCTGAAGATAAGGATAGTGTTGACAGTTCAACTTCCAATTCATTACGTCGCGGCGTTCCCCCCGCCGAGCAGCGTGAAATTGATAAACAGATTTTGGATTTCAAAACATACTTTCGCTTTAGATCCTTTACATATTAACAAATATATATCGGAAATTCTATTTGATATAATCGAAAGTTTAAGCTTACTTTTATAAAATTGCTCTTACTGTCTGCAAAAAATAATAAGCCGGATCCAATTCGAAAATCAAGGAACAACGCAATCATCAACATTAACTGAAATAGATAATTAGATAATTTTAGCTTATACGTCCATTATACATAAAAGCGCACGCGAAAACATATTCTGCACTTGCGCACACTCATATGCGCAGTCGTAAAAGGTCTTACGCGCATGCGCAAACGCCTATGCGCGTGTGTCAACGCGGCGCATGCGCAGAAAGTTTTTAGTTGAGGTCCGGATTATAGATCATTCCGAATTATGGGTGTCCGGATTAACGACTTTTGACTGTAGTAAAAAAATAGGTAAGTGGTTAAAAAGTAGATCTTTGCACAGAACTGAAACTACCATGAATAGCAGCTGGTGATTGGGCATGTGTACCAAGCACTTTTAAAAAATCATCCAGAAGAAGTTTTTACTTTAACTAGAAATATACCAATAGTAAGAAATTTCAAATAACTATACTTCCTGAAAGTAAAGAAAGCATTCTCGTGAATATTTATGGATCTTCATTTGTAAGAGATGAGGATATCTCCAGTTCTGTGTGTGTGTCAAGTACACAGATTTTTTTTCAAATGAAAGTATGAAACCTTCATTACTTTTGCACCATTTGGAAACCAAATATTCCAGTTACTAATAAAAAAGAGGGTTCCACATCATATAACCAAGATAAATTCTAAAGTTGACTTGCCAAACATTAGTGAAGATCTAAAATTCATTACTTTGAAAACATATGCAGAATCTACAGAACTGATATAAAATCTTGAACTGTACAGCAGTTTAAACAAAGCTCTTTGAATAATGACATATGTTTTGTTCTTAGTGAACAGTTGTAAATTGGCTCATGAAAGAAAATCTGGTGTGCTTACTGCCTATGAGTTAAGGAAAGATTCAGAATTTACTATAAAAAGTGTTCTACTAATATTAACTATTTTGCAGGAGAAATCAAGGTATCAAAAACAGGAAAACTGATTAAAACTAAAAACAAAATTATTTCATTTAATCCATTTCTAGGTGAGAACGAAATTTTAAGAGGAGGAGTTAGGTTAAAAAATGTTGAAATTTAAGAGAAAATAAACATCCTATTACATAGTTAAAGAATAATTACTTTGCAAAATTCATAATACAGTGTTATCATGAGAAACATCTGCATAAACGATTACAATTCCTATTATTTTCAATAAGGAAAAAATACTGGATAATAAGTGCAAAGAATGGAATTAAAAATTGCATATGGAAATGCATAAAATGCTGCAGAGTTTGAGGAGCAATGTTTACCCAATTAATGGGATAAATAACTGCAGCCATAGTGATTCCAAGAAGAACCTTTTGAGAGATCGGCATCAATTATGGTGGCCATTTGCTCTAAAGATGAAAAGAGGAAGAGCAATAAGGCCAATTAAATATTATATCTGTATTTTCATTTGCTCAGGTATGAAGGCAATCTATTTAGAGATTTCCAGTGACTTATAAAGTGAAGTATCCCTAACTGCTCTGAAAAGATTTGCTTCGAGGAGAGGAAAACATAAAAAAATAAGAAGTTATTGTAAAACTAATTTTATTAGTTCTAGTAAAATCATCAAAGGAGCAATTTCTTCTATTC